TAGGAGGCCTCCAGGAGGGAGTGAGAGTAGATGAATTTGGCCTTATTAGATTTATAGGCTTAGGTTACCTAGTCTAAGGTCAATTAACATACGTCACGCACTCCGTTGCTCTTATTGGTTGTAGGTCTATCCAATTGAGTGCAGAGGCATTTTTTTTCCTGGTTCTTTCGAAACACGCCCCATAATCACAGCTCTATGGAGCAGTATCAGACTCATATTCTGACTAGAATTGAGTAGGACTACGTCAGGCTAGCTTCGCTTCCCATCCAGGAGCCTTTTTCAAAGGCAAACTGGACTTTGGCTCAGGTTTTTAAAGACGTTTTGACAGCTATCCAGGAGTCTCTGTCAATTCTGTTGGCTCTACCAGATCTTTATGTAATCGGAGCGCTGATATATTTAAGCAGCATGGAGATCTATTCTCTTAGATCTTTAGATGCAAATCAAATAGCCACCCGTTGTTCTGGGTGGTCGGAGTCTTTTGTTGTGCATGTGATGAGTGAGTGGTCTTCTGAATCATAATGCTTATGTGATCTTTATGAGATGAGATACATGACTTTGATTTGCATCTAAAGCCAGGTATACACTGTGTAATATTTTCAATCGTTGCACGCAGCTGCAGCTCAAACTGTACAATGAAACCGCAGGGTTTAAAAGTTCACAGCTCAAGATGCAAGTTCTCACACTGTGCGACCCGATGCTCTGATGCGATCTACCTGCTCACACTGCACCGCCAAAAAACACATGTCGGACTCCCTTGTTTGCACATGCGCAGTGCTCTTAACTCTCATAACTCTGCATGAACAGCAGGATTCGTCCATAAACACCTCACAATGGCCGACTGAATTTCAAACATGTTTGATTTTTTTCCCGACCTTACGATTCCTGATTGGGAGGGGGTCCTGAGAGGCTCATCGGCCCTCTTTACACCCTGTATACTACATGACGCATATTTTAGAAGTTTAAAAGTGCAGGGAAGTCATATTTAAATGTCAAATCATTCTGGCTTAAACATGTATATAAATGTACTCTTTATCCGAAGATATTGTCCCAAATTTAGAAAATTTCTACTTTAAAAAAAAATCCTGTCTGAAAAACCTTTGGGTTTTTTTTTCGTTATCTTCTGCAGGCCAGTTAGTTCTACGTCAGCCTGAACACCTACATTCGGCCATTCATATATCAACGGTCATCTGTCAATGAAAATGTTTTCGGTCATAGCATCTTCATTCATATGTCGCAGCTAATATACGCAACGGTTGAAATCAGAAATCAGAATGATTTCCTTTCCCATTGAGTTCCGTCCCAGTGTTCACGGGGATGGACGTCTGTGTTTTTGCGTTGATTAGCGAGTGAAACCTTGAAAGCTCGCGAGATCAGGATGGTCTCACGAGGCTACTGGGTTAGGACATTGCTTTTGGACTCTAGAGGTTCTGAGTTCAAGTCCCACTCCCACAGACTGCCACTCTGGCTCCCAGAGCAAAGACCCTTAACTCCAAACTGCTCCCTGGGCTCCACACTATGGCAGCCCACTGCTCCATGTGGAGTAAAAATGTTGAGAAATGTC